AACTCATTTTATTATTTTGCTTCTCTTGCTTTTTTCTTTTCAACACCACATCACTGGCACAGTTTACACAGCACTGTGAAGTATTGTTACAGCTACGCCTTTTAACCTTTATGCCTTTTAGGACATTGAGATGTCCTAAATGAGGCATCATTGGTGGCTCTGAATAATACTTCTTAACCGCAAAGGAAAAGATAGAAGAACAGGAATAAAGAGGTCTCCTATTAAAAAAAAAAAAAAAGGAAGAATTCTTAAAATATTTTAAAATCTGATTATTTTATGATGAAGATGACAGAGAGATCCCTTTACACGAGTCTTTAGGTCCATCTCTAAAGTACTTTGCCTTTATCTGCCAGACACCATTCCTAATAATTAAACTTCCTGAACTTCTGATTCTACTTTCTGCATGGTGACTTCATGCTGGCACCCTTTCAACAAAAATTTCCTGATTCATTACCAATTCTTTGCCAGCCAAGAGGCAACTTTCAGACAGTGAAACTGAATATTGAGCAACTCTAACATTACTCTGCAGCAGAGAATTCATGAAAAAATTTGGAGGATGAGAAATTAAAAAAAGAGAGAAAAGATTTTCTTATACTTGTTTTAATAAGTTATTTTTGTTTCTGATGTAGTAGACATAAAATAATAGTTAACAGTGACTGCAGATGTCCAGAAGAATTGCTGTTAGACAATTTTTTGTATCCACATAGCTTCTCAAAGAAAATATTTTGAGATGACAAAAAATAGAAGAGAGGGCAATAAGCATAAAAAACAAACATGTGGCTTGCTTTTGATTTAAGGGCACCACAAAAGAAACTCACACTGATTTATCCTATTTTCATGGAGCTATGAAAATGAATAGTGCAATAGCAGGCAGAGCTCCATCACCTCTTCCATACGGCCAGGGAAGAGTCAGAGCATGCAGTGACAAATCCACTGTGATGCAAATCATTTAGCAACGGAGAAGCTGGGAAGTATAGACACTGTAGTAAGGGAGGTGGCTTGGCTCCCTGGTGTTGGGTTTCTGTTTGAAAGCCTTACCTCTGAATACAACTTGCAGGGAATGAAATGACTCTACTTTGAAGAAAGGTAGAGACCATGGTTCTCTCCAAGCATAACCCACAATCTCCCTGGTGGAAGAAATTTCATGCCAAGTTCCCTAAAAGTTTTAGCTTTAAACAGCCCCTCAAAAAGGCTTCTGAAAGCAAAATGGTTTTCTATTCTTTTTGGTATTCTTCCTCAGTACAGAACTTTTCATGCCTTTATAAAGAACAGCGAGATGCACCACAACCACTCTTTCGGTAGAAACAAAAGTACGTAAGATTAATTGGCCACCTTCAGGCACTGAAAGCGATGAGCATTTGAAATAAACATAAGGGTAAGAAAATGAGAAGTAATTAACCTTTTTGGTTCGTCTGTCTCCCTGTGCTTGCAACTGGGCATGCAGCTTTGTCACATCAATGAAAAAATAACTGATACAGGTACTGGTACTTTCATCAGCTCCGTATTCTTCAGTGTTCTCTATGAGATGAAAATAAAGCATATTCCTGTTCTGAACCATCACCAGCATGGATGTGAGAATAGAGAGTCTACTTCCAAAAGGCAAAATCCATCCAAAAAAAAGAATTCTTTATTACAGGGAAGGCTTTTGTGTCACATTTCAGCAACTGGTACAGGTGTGTATCAATAAAAAATGTGCTGCAATAGCCATTTTTGAACCAATGTTTTCTATATGAGGTAACAATATGTAGCCATTTTTGAACCAATGTTTTCTATGTGAGGTAACAATATGTCTGAAAATGGGGATCTCAGCTTTTTATCCAACCAATCCCCTGAACTTTTTAAATCTAAATCGGTCATAACTGGCTGATTCACTGCAGGAATAGATTAGATCACCAAAAGCCAAAGGGAGTTTTGGGTGAAAATCTGATGAAGACTATCATTCAGGAACAGGCTTGCAATGAAAGCCAAGTTAGACTACTATTGTTTAAATCATAGCAGAAGGAGGAAAAAACCCAACATTCTGCATTTTTCTGAGCATAATATCAAGATACAATCCTGTTGTATGGTCCTTTAGATTACCACCCTTGCACTTCATTTTCCCATGATGTCAACAGAAGACTCCTTTCAATAGAAACTACTTTACTTACATATGGCCAACTCTTGTGCTAACTAACAATAAAAAAAGAAAAAAAAGAAAAGCAACAAACTTGCCTTGTGTCCATCGCACAACCCCAGTTATAGGTGGAAAGACCAACACCGCAAACAGCCAAAGAATTTCTGAGCTAGTTCCTTGGGGTCAGTGCCATCTCCAGTACACAGGCTGGGGAGGCCCGTCCGCAGCTGGACGAGTAATCCCTTGGACGTTCAGCCAAAGGAGCAGGACAGCAGAGTTGGCTGGGATAATTAGCAGTTGTGAGTTAAGGCCAAGAACTTGCTAGCACAGAAACAGTTTTCGTCTTGGAAAAGAAAATTGAAGACAGACCTGTGAATTCCGTGTAGCCCTCCAGTCCTCTAACAAGCAAGGACTAGAAGTCTTCTAACAACTGAACTGAAACTCATTTGTCTAAATTATCTTAAACCCTGTTCCTATTGTACTGAGAGGGAACTGAAAGCACCCATAGGAGGTTCTAGAGTCCACAACAGAGAAGAGTCCTTTTTTCTTTAGTACCCTTTTTATCTTAGATAACAATGACATTGTAAGTGCACCCAGTGGTGAGAACCGTAGGATTTCACATACATCCAGACTCCTTCCTCTTTCACTCCCACCCGTCTTCCCCCACCACCCCCCAGAGTGACAATTTTTGCAATTTGTCATATGAAAGCTTGTCAAAATGAAAATTTATTCTCCATCACCATATAATCTCCATTAATTAATGATCAGGAATCCCTACCAATTTACACAGATGCAGACTTCTGAAAAATACAAGATCTTTTCAAACTAACAAAGACTTGACTGATTTGGATTGCACGTAATCTCTAGTCATCTCAAGCTTTAGTTTTTCTGTCCAAAAAGAGACAGTGATGTTGTCCTGGAGAGCACAGCCACTAATCTTGCACGCCTTGTTCCCTTCCTGCATCACACACACAATGGGAAGATCGATGTTGTTCCTGCAGTGCAAAAACGAATAGTGACAGCAGGATTGCCAAGCTTTAAAGAGAAAACCTTAGCAGTACAAATTCTACAAAAAAAGCAGGTTTTTTTGCTATAGGCCACTAGTTTGAATTTTGTCCAAGTCAACACTGCACAAAGGTTGTTGCCATCTGATGCCCGATCTTGTGAGGTGCTAAATGATCTCAAGCTCTGGCAGTTAGCAGGATCTCACCAACTTCGATCCCTAGAGGCTACTCTGACATGTCTGGAAGGGGTGCGTGATTGCATTTAACTGCTCTGAGCACAAACGCATAGAAAAGTGCCCTCATTATATCTGCCACCTTTATATCCAGCTCTCCAGAGAGAAGCTAAAGACCGAGTGGTTCCATTGAGTAAGTGACCTCGTCTCTCCTGCAGCGATTCCCCAAGGACTGAGGCAGCTCATTGACAAAACTTTGAGATTACACCTATATCTGCTTCGCAGGTTACGATGTTCCCATTGGTTAATCAAGACCTTTTTACAGAAGGCAAAAGTTAATGCAATAAAAACTAATAAAGCAAGAAATTAACAAGTAACACTTTATAAGTAAAAGGAATTGAGCTAGTGGACCTAATAATTGCAAAGAAAAAATCAGATTCTATTGTTGCAAGTGAGAGCAGGAGTTTCTATTAAACCAACAGAGAGAGGCAAAAGGCAAGAATCCCAAGTCTGATGGAGTTGAAACATTTAAGCTTCTGTTAACATTCGTAACACTTATTTCTGCATACATACCATCCAATGGAGGCAATATTCATACTAACATGTCTAACACTCCTAATCCCTGAAAAGATTCACAGATTTTTGCAATGTTTGTTTATCCCAATGTTTAATTCTTGTCCAGTGCTCCAGCCCCAGATTTGAAAATAAGTAAGTACTGTTCTCAGCTCCAAAAAAATCACATTCAGTCTTGCTCCACTTATGGGTTACAGCTTTAGCATCGTAGAACCCCACGCAATTAGAAATGGGAACTGCCCAATAAGCAGCAACACTTGCATCTAGCTCTGGAAGGTCCCCAGATACACGACTTACAAGTTGTAACATTTTTATAGATCATAAGGCTGTTTATACACGACTTACAAATTTTAAAACATCTCATAAAAGCGATCTAAAACAGCCTTATGATCTATAAAAATGTTACAAGTTGTAAGTTTTCATTTTCCCCTCCCTTGGAGTCCAGTTGTTAAGGAAGAGAGGCTTTATAGATAGCAGGGAACAAGAAAATGACCAGATTAAAAACAAACAGAAAAAAATGTGTAGAATATTTCAACTCCTTCATTCTATAAAAGAGGCTGCTTATAGGGAATACATTACATTGTGGTATGACACAGTGCTTAATCATTCAAGATACCTTTGGACACTTCTGAATACATGTAAAGTCTATGTTACATGATATGACAGCAACATTAAAATTCATTTAAGTATATAGCTCAAATTAGAAACAATTTTAGAACAAACATTTTGTTTAACAGATAGGTTTTAATTGGTAAGCAAAAGTTTCCAGAGAATTAAAAATTTAACAAAAAAGTTGAACCCCTAACATTACAGATAAGTTTTAAGCTTTTTAATGCCATAAAGTACTGCATATTATTCCTGTCATGCAGAAGCAAATTCGTACTTAGTAATAAAAAAAACCCACACACAAACCCAAAATATCTTTGTTCCAATATTTAGAATGGTTTAGCTCTTATTCTTCTCTTGCTTTGGTATTTAAAATACTTGAACTAAGTGGATAAGGTTATTTATGGGGGAGGGAGGACAAATACCAATTAAGAACTACTGTGCTTCAAATAAGTATAATTTATGCAGCTTAATAAGAATAAAGTACCACTACTGAGATTCAAATTTGATCAAGCCAGCTCTAAGCTACACTGACAGATTCAGATCTTTGACTTAACCATACATTTTCCTTAGAGGGCTTTACAATTTTTTAACAAATATTTTACTATTAATAACATGTAGTCTCCAGATGAGTTTAAGATACTTATTTTATCCTGAAGAACAAATCTTTGTAGTTGAACATTTTTCTTTAAACTTATTAACTTCCATGGTTTTAAAATCCTAGCTACCTTATTTTACTAAGGTAGCATTCACCTCTATCTTTTACAGCATTCATCTCTATCTTTTAAAAGGACAGTTCAACAAGTGTCAAGATACTAAAAGTGTCTTGTTTTTAAATAGGGGAAATAACACTGTAATTATTACCTTTAAAAAAAAAAAGCTGTTCTAAACTTACCCTTATATTTATCTTTCAAAGAACTTAAGCACCATTTTTCAGTAAGTTGCAGACAATTCTCAGAAGCTATATTTTCAAATTAAATTGAATAGCTTAACCCATGTCATAGGTCTCTAATCAAGCACAGCAGTTTTAAAGGACAGATTTTCCCAACAAAACAAAATAGACTCAGCATTTGAAAAAACTACACTCAGCATTTGAAAAAACTACATATGCATTTACATGCATATGTAAATGCAAATGCATTCTTTATACCAAAGATAGGCCAATAACTTTCACACAAATGGAGTTTTGTGACAATTGCAAGAGCAGGAAGCTGGACCAACTTTCATACAAGCAAACATACTGCCAGAAGAGCAGTCACGTACTACAACACAAGCTATTGAAGAAAATATTTCCAATTTAGAGAGTTATTTAAATAAGAAATTAAGTAAAACAGAAGTCAAATCTCTAATAAAAATATGTAACATAACCACTGTTAAAAACCAAAACAAAGCATACAAAGGTCCTGGCATACCCAGGTAAGCAACAAGTAATCAGCAAATCCCAAATATTTGCAAGGTAGTCAAGCGTTGCTCTCCACTCACATGGAAATTGGGTGATAAAGAGCAGATCTAGAACAGATAAGTGACAATTATATTTAGGAATTCAAGGGTTTTTTTCCAAACAAGTCTTCCTCTCAGTTTCATGAATCCATACGTCAACCAAGGTAACCCATTAGCCTGGCAAAGCTACCTCAAGCCAATCTCTACAGCTTTTGGCTCAAAAAAAAAAAAAAAAAGATGTAGCTTTTCCCTCCTTGGTTCGTATGACCAGCAGAATCAAGAGAGAAAAGGGAGAGGAAGAGAGGGCTAACTTTTAAGTCAAGTTTGGAACGAAGTTCAGAATTGCATTTTTGGATGTAAAACCCCAGTAGTACTTGCTCATTTCCCCATCCTCCTTTATCATCCTTCCACTTGTGGCTCCTTTCCTCGGGAAAGCTTCAAAACGATAGCTAGACAAACATTAAGCTCAGAGACGCGAGGCTCCTGTTGGCTTCACACAAGGTCCTGACTTGCATGCCTGCTCAGCGGCTGGACAAATACCACATAGGCTATCCTGGAGAGCACAGTGCATGAGGTTTTCAATCTAGCAAAACATATCTCATTCAGTTTAAAGAACAGAAACGTTTTAAGCACATAAGCCTGTAAATTCATTACCCAAAAGGCCAAATTAAATTCACATTATTTATATTCCTTGAACAAAGATGACAATCGCATGTTACAGGTTATTCACCATCTTACCAAAAGACGGTGATATAACTGCATATAATCTCACACTCAGTCAGATATCAGTGTGTTCTGTCTGAAGCATGATAGACTGTAGTTCTGAAAAGTGTTTAAGTGCTTAACTCTTTGCAAAGCCAGGATAACACTTTTCAGAACTGTAGTCTAAGTGCTTAACTCTTTGCAAAGCCAGGATCTTCCATGGCGACTGCCGAGGGACCACATGAACATAACCACACAATTCTGGTAGCACCCAAAAAAACCCTTGGCTCCTTCAGACGAGACCACACAGCAAATATTAGTATTTGGTTGGCTTCTTTCCACAATTACTGTCAGGGACCTATCATAATTGAAAAACTGTAATTATCTATTTCTCAATATTCACTCCCCAAGACCACAGGAGTTATGCAGAACATTACAACTCAGCCTCCAATATTGTATCCAAGACTTAATGTGTTGCACATAAAGCACTAACTCTAAATACAGCTTGCAGGTACTTGTAACATGCCAGTTCACAGCATATAGCAGCTGGATGTTTTATAGTCAAGGCTCTGTTAAACTCATGAGTACTTTATCAAAGTTTGACATCCAAGACTCTCTAGCACTCTAAAACATTTGTAATATGCCTCATACATCGTTCCATAAAATAAGAAGCTCAGTATCTCCCCTACTGCTTCATGAGAAGGTTAGCCCTTCCTTGGCTTGAATAATACATCAGTACTACAGAAATGCTTATTCCTTCAGTGGCTTCCAAAAAGTTAAAAATTTCATTTTCTTCAACCCAGTCCACTACAAAATAGTAGCAAATCATCTTTATTACAAATGCAGACTATTTGTCCAGCTAGATTTCCCTTCCAAAGAACAAAACTGTTTGTTTATAGTTTAACTAATGTCATTCAACATCAAATACCACAAAAGGCTCCTACCCCCTCCATCTAGTTCCATGACAAACTGTGACACAGTTCAAATACAGAATTGCTGTAAGAAGTTGATATCAACAACACATAACTTTGAAGTATCCTAGAAAAACTTTTGAAGTAGATTAACATTGAAGCAATAAAAGCAAACGCACTAAAGTAATCTTGTCCAATTGTTCTGAAATTAAATAATCAGGCTTTTTAGTTAATCATCTTGCTAAGTTACCTAAAGATATGTCTGTAAAAATCAGAGATGTTGCTCCACTTACTGCTTTAACAGAACATACTTTCTAAAATTTAGTTTTCTGAAAGCAAGTGTATAAATCATGTTGCAGTCCACTTACTGCTTTAACAGAACATACTTTCTAAAATTTAGTTTTCTGAAAAAAAGTGTAAGTCTCCAGTTCTATGTTGGTGCCATGAATTGTTTCAGCAAATACAATGGCTTCCGTGGGCAAGAAGCATACAAGACCGTCCACCTGTCTAGAATTTCTGTTGTGGTAAAAACAAGGGAGCACCTCCTCCAGGCACAGGGGCTCCTTCAGGGCAGGGAATGCTGAAAGGATCTCCCCAAACCAGCCACCTCTTCTCTGATTTTGCCCTCCTGCCAAGTTCAGCTGAAATTAAACAAGACTAGAAACTACAAGGGAAGAGGAAATACACATGCAAGCACAAACAAATTTCCTTTGGAAAACAAGATAAAATGGTAGATGTAATATGAAAGGTTTCTCTTTGCTAGTAATTAGCATAGAACATAGAGTAATTATAAAGCAGAAACATATACTAAGTTGTGTATGCTACAAGTTCTCATCAAAATTGTCTTAAACTTCACATTTATATAAAATAAGTGTGTACATATATTTAAACATAAATGTCTGATTATATGCACATATAAAAGGCAAAACGAGTTATACTATTCTCCATTTTGGCTATTCGGAATTATTTCACCTCTGAAAAAAACATAAGCCTGAAAACACTTTGAGTTACCGAGTTGTCTCATGCAAGAAAAAATGCTAATCAGAAAAAAATAAAATACAAAAGGAATCCTTTTAAAGAAAGGAATTGAGATTGCATTACTTTGCCCAGGAATCACTACTCCATATTTTACTTCTTTAATAATTGGTAACATCCTATGTTATGAGAGAAGAAAAAATTGAGTTCTGCATCAAAAATGCATCATTCATAAAAATACATTATTGTAACTTCTACTGAGGATAAATAGTTTTACATTTTGATTGACAGTACTTTCATCTAGTAGTCCCTTCACAGTTTTCATGTTACTTTAAGGTATGAGAGCTCTTATAAGACACCTACAGAAAAATGGTAATAGCATGGGTGTATGTGATTTTTCCAGTACACTGGATTCCTGTTTCCCATAGGGAAAATAGCTTTTTGGCATTGCAAAAGGTATAGTCCAGCCCCACAGCAAAAGGACACCAGGCATGTCAAACCATAAAAAGTTTTGGCATGCTTTCAAACTAGAAACAACATACAAAAATCACAATTCATCTTTGTGGATAAATAGTGGCAAGAAAAGAGAAATGGCACACTATCCCCCACAGTCACAACGGCACAACAAGCTCTCAGAAAAAAATATATCACCCAGGAGGCAGATTAAAAAGAATCTATAAGATGTGATGAAAAGGAAAATTGGAACAGTAGAAGAGAAGATGAAAGTGATACGTTCACACAACCTTAATTATCGAGTTTGGGCCTGGCCTCACCTCGCGCCCCCCCCACCTGCATTTGTTTAATCTTGTGGAATTCAAACTATCATTTTCTTCAAATATTCTTGTAAACACAGTCATAAAACTGGCACTCAATTAGATTAATCTTCATTATTAAGCACGACACACGCAACGCAAATTGCTAAAGCTGCCCCATTTTGCACCATAAGATTGGAGCAGGGACTGATTATCAGGGTCTTGAGTCATTCTCCCTCACTTTCTTAGTCTAGCAAACATACTGTATGCAAAGTGGAAGTCCTCCATGGGAAATACTGAGAGCAAAATAAACCCTCCTGTAATCGCTTACAAAGCTGGCATTTACCATGCTCCTGGAAGAGTTGAGATATGTCCAAGTCTCATCAAAGGAGAGATTAAAAGATGTTTCTCCCATATCTCAGGAAAGCACCCTACATATTTCACTGACATGTCTGATGGAGCAGTGCTGTCATAATCATCCCTTGTCCTTTGCGAACAGTGGGAAAGGTGAGAATTTCATTTATCCTTATTAAAATAATGAAAATCCAAGTAGAAATAGTTTTATTCAAATGAGAAGCACTTCTATTCTGATGCTTTCAGTTCACCTCAATAGATACTTCACACTTCTCCATCCCTCAACTTCAGTCCCAAATGACCCTTTCCGTTTCAACCACACACAAAAAAAAAAAAGTAAATTAATTCCCGTGCTTTAGCTATATTAGCAAGTAACTCAACACAATGTGAGGAGATCTCCCACTGTAAGCAGTGAAC